ATTGGTAATATCTGTGAGGAACGTGGGGGGATGGATTCCTGAAAACCTGAGTATATTCTTGTCTGGTATGATAGCATGAAGTTATGGTAGTTTTGGCCATAGGTTATCCTGTGTTGTTGAATGCCTGTAAAATATATAATTAATGGTGTGTGAGATGGTTTTAGTTTAAGGTGGCAAAAAATGAAGCAAAACCTAGGAGAAATGTTATGACACAGGTTGAGCTATGTCGTGTTCCAATGAGATTCTTTAAAGCCAGGTGAATAGGTGCGTTCTACAAGTATGGGATGAAAGTGCTAGGTGGGATAGTGCATGCTATGCTGCATGAGTATGTCTAATCCATGATTTTGTCTCTGGAACGAAAGAGTGGCCGTGACTGTATATAAGGCTGTAGGAAGCGTATGATAAACGTGCCTGGAATATAAATGAGACAATTGTCGGCAAGGATGTATACCAACGCCTGGTACATGAAAGTAAAAGAAATGTGGTAAGTGGCCAACCAAGTGAGTTCCCCAGCAATACCATGATCGTATGGATGATGAGTGGCATTTGTTGATGATATGACATGTGCTCAGTTGTCTGAGTAACAACGGATTGATGACCCTGACCATGATTTACCCCATGCCACAGCAGCTGCTTTTAGCGGGGAAAGGATTGCCCATTTTATGCCATGTATGTGCCAGTTTGTAGGGTAGATGATAGCAGTTTACTGTGTTGATGATATTGGTCTTACTTAACGAAGCTTCAACCCCTGCTTGAGTGATAGCTGTAAAGGTAGATCAATGGTGTGTATAGTAAGGAAACTCCTCGGAGGGTATGAGGGAGTTGAGACTTGGGGTAGCGAAGGTGTGTGGTGCCAATAAGTCTATGGTTAGTCTTTGTTTAAGGGAAGATTCCCTTGTGACAATACCAATGCATTTGTGTTTGGTGCCATGCTGTAAATGGTGGAGATTGGAAAACCCAAGTAAAAACCCCTCTTGAAATCTTGGCTATGAGTGTGTTTACAGCCGACAGTTCTGTTGTGCTGACTGTAAGTGAGGGCATGCTATATTCCTTGAGAGTTTATTTATGATACCTGGAGGAGTTTGAATAACTCTGCTTTCCTTGCTGTGGCAGGGTAGGGTATTTGTCGCCTCCTTAGGTCGGAGCCACATCTCCTCTGCTTGAAGGTGTATCACTTCTAGCCGGGGTGCCAGGAAGAGGTGATTCTTCACCATCTTTTTGAGAAATACTTAAATAACAATAAAGATTGCAATTATTATTTGTACCCAGGGGTCTTGTACTGGCTTGCTAGCTAAGCCGTAAGGCGAAACGATTAGGCTTGGTGTTTTTTGGTGACTGGTGAGGGAAATTTTTTTTGTGGCCACCGAACGTTGTGGCAGGATGTTGGCCTCTCGGTGACAGTAACCAGAAAATAGGAGGGGGAGTGACAGGTGAGGCCCTCTCTATGATACAATGCGAGGCGGCTAGCTCACGAGTGGCCCGAGGGGTGTATGCCTCCGAGTGTGAGGCAGGGTGTTGGCCTCGCGGGACCACTAACCGAAGCGTAAAGCAGAGAAACAGGGGGTAATACCTATTGGGCCATAGAACCCTAATTGCCAGTACATTACTACTATTCCAGGGAAGGTAAGAGATGAAGGTGTATCACTTCTAGCCGTGGTGCTAGGAAGAGGTGATTCTTTACCATCTTTTTGAGAAATACTTAAATAACAATAAAGATTGCAATTATATATTTGTACCCAGGGGTCTTGTACCGGCTTGCTAGCTAAGCCGTAAGGCGAAACGATTAGGCTTGGTGTTTTTTGGTGACTGGTGAGGCCCTGCTAGTTGCCAAGTGGCTCGAGAGGCTCTATCTATGCTTGGCGCGAGGGGATTTTGTGTGGCCACCGAACGTTGTGGCAGGATGTTGGCCTCTCGGTGACAGTAACCAGAAAAATAGGAAGGGGAGTGACAGGTGAGGCCCTCTCTATGATACAATGCGAGGCGGCTAGCTCACGAGTGGCCCGAGGGGTGTATGCCTCCGAGTGTGAGGCGGGGTGTTGGCCTCGCGGGACCACTAACTGAAGCATAATGCAGAGAAAAAAGGGGGTAATACCTATTGGGCCCTAGAACCCTAATTGCCGGTACACTATTACTATTCCAGGGAAGGTAAGAGATGGATAACTACGTGAGCAGGTGTACGTACCTGGTAGTATGGTATTGAACCTGACAATCCTTATAGGTTTTTTAGTAGTAACTGTAACCTGAATGGATAAAATCGTATGGCATAAGGAAATATGGCATAGACCAAGCTTATCTTAAAACATACAGTATATGTGAAAGTAAAGTGCCGTGATATGTAAATATTAAACATCATATCCATACTGGTTAAATATGTATCAATCTTAACCCATTAAGTGCCGTATGTATGTGAACCATATTACCAGTTACGTATATACAGATGCGTGTGCTACTGTGTAATAATATGTGTATTTATAACAGATATTGATATACTGCTTGCTATGTGAATTGTTGTATGCCTTATTGAATGGCAAGTGAACATGGAGTTGCAAAATGCAAGTGCACTGGAGATCTGCTGAGTGCCCTATAGGTGGCAGTGTAGTTGATACTGATTGGTATGTGAAATGTTGTTTGTCTGTTGACCTATAGGGGTCAGTGTTTTGGTGTTTGTAAAACCCCATGAAAATTGTCAATGTACTTGACAGACCTGTAGGTGGCAGTGTTGATAGAACCACTGTTAGTCTTAATGTGAAATGTAAATTATTGTGAATTAAACCTGAAGTTGAGCCCGTGTTGGAGTTTAATTCATGGTTTATGGTTATGTTTAAAACAATCTTTTGTGTAATTTATATTGGCTGGTAATTGTATATGACATGTGAAGACAGTTTTGCTGTTGACCAGTAGGGGTCAGAAATGCTGATTGTATGGTAAAATACCCTTTAACCCCTGAAGGATACATGACATGTGTGACATATCATTTATTCCAGAGTTTGGTCCTTAAGGGGTTAATCCAAATGCAAGGTTAACGTGAGATTTTGAGAGTGACCTGTAGGGGTCAGTGTGGTTTATGTGAAACATTGTTTGTGAGCTATGCCCCAGCATTATAGTTGTGAAACAAACAGTGCCCGTTTGACAATATACAATAAGTGAACATAATAGCTTAATAACAATCATTGTAACAAACCAAAGTTCTGTTCACGGGTTGTAAACACATGAAACGTGTGTGTAGTACAATAGTAAATGCATGAACTAGTACCCGTTTGGTAGAAAATTGCACGAATCGTGAGCCTGGTATGCCAGGGAAACAAAACGAAACGAGCAGTGAGATTCGAAATGCACGCACAGAATTGCCTAGTATGTTTAGGCAATTGAAACAGAATGTGTTCCCTTTTGGGAGTATGCTAATGCTCGAAATGAGCCAGTGACAGATATAAACAAGTGAGTTTAAACGAATGATATGCATGAACATGCAATGGTTTTAGGACAGATTTAGACCAAATGCAGCCGTAAAGTGAGGACCTGACCCGTGCATGGTGCCGTGGGACTGATGCCTGGCGTAACGGGTAGGTCGACTTACGGTTTGTGAGTCACTTGGACACCATCCACAGCAATAGATTGAAGAAAGAAGGTGGTAGGCCGGAAAAGCCTGTGGCTGAATTCCTGACACAGCTCAGCTTAGAAAACCTCATGGAGTAATCAGGTAAAATGGCGTCTGGATGACCCGGAAGTGGAAATCATTCTGATGCTGACCTCAAGCGATATGAGTCAGGTAAGGGGTGTCCCTTATATAGGGGAGTGAATTAATTTAAGCCCCTCCCACAAATACAGGCCAAATGGCCTTAAAACATATGTTTATGTTGTGTATTCAATAAGTATACAGCATATAAATACTGTTTTTGGTTACTTCTCCACCCCTTTTCTTCTCTATTAGTTACTTTTTCTAACTTAATATGTGAACCAAATGTTTCTATCAATGTACTGCAACATATTTAATAATATAAATATATCATTTTATAATTTATTGACACGTTTACATGTAGATTGCCTTTAGATGTAAGATGAAAGCACAAAGCATTTTTCCTCGTGTGTAACTAACCCTGATGGGGCTAAATATTCATTTCTACCTCCAGGCATGATGTTGACAACTTGACATAGGATCTATCTAACATAAAAATGGCATATTATAATTTGTGAAATGCTTATACATGTTTCTCCTAAACAATTTTTTTTAACATTATTGAAGGATTTGTCAAACCCTTTTTCGTGAATATGTTAAAGATCAAAGTTTCTAAATGTCTGCTTGTCTTTCTATTTGTATATCTGCCCGTCTGTCATCGGCATTGCTTGTTCTGTAAAATGCTTCCTATATAATGTTTTACCATTCTGCTAGGATTTAGATTCTGCTAAAATATTAGTTTAAGTAAGAGAGGTGAGTTGCTTTGTGACTTCTCCCATGGGTAATTGGGTAAGAGTGTTTTTTTTTTCTGGAAGTGTGGACGCATTGGCTTCCCTGGTTTCTGTCCACAGGTCTGTTAGGGCAATAATGTTAATTAAGGTAGGGGGTTCTCATTCTATTATCCCATCAATATTCCTGTATACTTGCTACAATGCTATTCCAACATTTGAATCCAACTCTCTCTGCATTAACACCCACCCAAAGCACCATACATTGATAATTATTTTAAAAAATATCTAAACTTGAGCTCATTGTTTTGAAAATATGATCGTTATGACATATTCAATAAATATTTAATATATAAATAGAGATTTTTGTTTTTACTTCCTCTCCTTTTTTCCCCCTGTATTGGTTACTGTTTCTAACATGATATGTGAACCAAATGCTCCTATCAATGTTCTGTAAAATATATACATAATATGTTTATTTTTATTTTTTATTATTTTTTTTTGTAGTGCAGGTTTAAAAATACAGGATGGATGAAACACATTAGCTCGCATTTGGTTGACAAGAGAGATCAATAAGATGTAATAAATGCTGCAAGCTTTCAGATGCAGGACTTGACAGCCAGCCCTGATTCAGGACCAAGATTGATGCCATGGAGTGACTTGTCTAGGATCAGCAGCGGAGTGGAACACCAAGTGTGGTGAGTGGGATCAGCGGATACATCAGGCGGTTTGCCAAAAACATAGCCCAGCTTTTTGGGTCTCCTATACTTTCCACTCCGGGCCTCGGTGTCAATTGTAAGGGCCCTGGACCGGGACCATGTGTGACTCATATATTGTTGTCCATCAAAAGCCCCGAGAGAGGCCACTATCTCCACAGAGTGTAGATTGGGCACAGCCGCTATCTTATTTTGTAAGTGAGTTCTCCGACACAAATAGCTGTGAAAGCTGCTAGTAAGGCCCCAAGTTGGACCAGGATGACCCCCACTGGTCCAAAGGTGGGGGAAAACAGGGCCGCTGCCAAGTAGAATACAGGGTTTGGCTTGTGTCACACAGGCAGTATAGCAGGGCGGCAGCCGTCCACCTTGCACACCGCTTGAGTAGGCCTTGGTTGAGGTGATTGAATTTCTCCCTTCAGGAAGCCAAAACACAAGTTTCAGGTCACGCATCCAGATCAGCACCACTTCTCCGTGCCAGGTGAAAGATGAAACCATTTTTCAGGGCTCAAAGCTTTGCAAAATGTGGGAGCTGGTCTTACATGTGACTACTCAGCATGGCAGTCCGGCCCCACCCCCCCTACATAATATGTTTATGTATATATTTTGCAGCACACTGATTGGTCCATATTCACACTTTTTTTTGGCTTGTTCATCTGATTCCTTTCCTGAATAAACATTCGGCATTACCAAACTGACATCCAACTGAATTTCAAGAGTCACAAAAAAAATGATGATGCCAAATGTGAAGACCTGTAAAAAGTGTAATTTCTGAGAAACAGCATTGATTTGCATAAATATAGTTGGAATCAAGGAGGGGGGGCGGCAATAAATTATCTAGAGAAAAGCCAAGAAAAGATTGTGATTAAATTCCTTAAATCACCAACAGGATTATTTACTAAACTGAGAATTCAAAGTGAATTTCAAATTAAAGGTCAAAGTAGCCAGCCTAGAAAAATTGTCAACTATGCTTCCATTCTGGCTACTCTGGCCTGACATTTGAAATACATTTAAATGAACTTTAAATTCTTACTTTAGTAAAGAACCCTGTTATTTTTTTTTCTCTGAAACGTTACGTTACCTTTGTTGTTTAAGGACGTACTCTTGGAATGATGTGCACAATAAGGTAACAGTGACGTATTCCTATGCCAGGACCATCAGGGTTATTCACAAAGTGAGAATTGTGGGGAATTCCAAGTGATTTTGAAGTGAAATTCAAATTTAAGGCTAAAGTAGCTAACTGAAAGAATTGTTTAATTTCTTTTATTTTGTCCATAAAATTTGGAATTTACTTTGAACTCCTTACAATCCTCACTTTTGCAAATACCCCTGTATGCTGGAAAAGCCAAGCAGAGTCGCATATTTAAAACTTGGGCAAATTCCACTTCTATTGAATTCTAAACCAGTAGGTATTTTTTTTTTTTATCAAACATTAACAATTGTGCATGTTTTTTGCCTAACATAACAATTAAAATATAACAATCTCAATGTTTTTAAAGGAAAACCCTGCTTAGCAAGTTGAGTTCTTCTTCAATATGTTACAGAATTGAATCTACTTTGTTATGTGCTATGAAAGAATGATCTCTGACAAGGAATATCTGGGCAAGTTGCGAATGGTTGCACACTACAATTATTCTGTTTCTAAAAGAGCTGTAATCAATGTTTCATGTCTTGATTAATCATCCTCAAAATCCTTTTTCTTTAAAATGGCACACAATCAGTAATTCATATATTTGTTATTTTACTAGGGTAAGGGACCACCATTCACAGCCCCAGCTTTCAGCAAGGTCTTATCACTCCTATATAGCATCTCCAATTAGAGGTGCAAAGGGTAGCTTAATGGCTTTGTGGGAGATTTCCTTCTCGATAAATTGCTAAATGACATCAGAGCTGATAAATAAATGTGACTTGCAATGTTGCCAAATAATTGCCTTTTCATTATTTCATTACCAGGTGCATGAAAAAGACTGTGCAGAGGCGTGAGAGCCCTTTGTTACCGTAATGGAATCTTCTAAACAGTGACATTTTGAAGGAAAAACTAACCTATAATTAAGCAGACATGATACAGTTAATTATAATCACTATGTTTATCTCTGTGTGCTTAAATTCTTTGTGTAACCTCTTCTAATTTTCTTGAACAATTTTCAAGATTCTCCATTGTAATTGAGTTGGCTGTTGATTGAATTGAGAAAAATGCTCGCCCATCAGCATTACTCTATCGGCTCTGTAATTACAGATAGAACTTTTATCTTTTGTAATTTGAACATTCACAGCTGGTGATGTTTTTCAATATAAAGACACCAGTAGACAAGCCTATTTTTTTGTTCAAGCATCTGCCCACTCGAGTTGCAGTGATATGTGTTGATGGATGGCACATAGTTAAATGTGGCATTTAAAAGTTGGTTACTTCGTGTCTTAGAATAGGATTGTTGATTTCATAGACTTTCCACATTATTTGAGGATGAGATATTTAGTTGCATTCAAGAAAACAGAGTGCACCACGTAAGAGTTAGTTATTTACATCAGGGAGTTATTTGTAAAAGTTCAGTACTGGATTCCAATGATGGAAAGGAGCCTAGATTTTGTCCTCATAAGAATTTTAGGCTATTTTGTCATTTTTATGAGAAATATAGACAATAACTTTATGGACGTAATTATTTTCCAATTTACTGTACTGGAACTGGAAAATATTGTGCAAAATTGTGCAGTATAAAATGCAACAAAATTGTATGTCTGGTGGGTTACCTTTAGATAAAAAAAAATATTATTGCTGTTAGTATCAATTTCGTTATTTGGAGGAATGGAAATGCTTCAAACTGGGTTTATCACAAATTTAATTTTAGATTTGTCAATAAGGAAAAATATATTTCCAGACCCCATTATGGGACCCCTGCTAGCACGTCCAGATTGCAAGTAGATAATGAAAGATATCTATTTAAAGGTTTACTCCAAACAAAAAACATTACTTTATGATTAATGTAACCATTTCTAAAGTTATCTGCCTCCCACAACTTAAACAGAGGCCAAGTTCTCCCTTCAACTCAATTCTCCTGGGCTGACATCTGTCCCTGTCGTCGGGGGGTGGAAGGGAGGACAGAGGCAGCACGGGAGCAGGGAGGGCACTGTGCCACCAATGACTGCCTGGCTTTGTTCCAGGCTGGCTAATGATGATGATGAAGGTGGAGCAAAACTCTTCAGGTATTTAATCACTTGAATTAAAAAAAAACATAGAAAAACAACATAACATAAAACCACACACAAATGGAATAAAAAGGGGGATAATATTGCACTCACAAACATAAAATAAAAACAGGCACATCAGAAGGTCCAAAATGCCTTCTACCATATACAGCAGTGGTTCCTCAGTGTACGTCCCAGTTGGAGTCTGTCCTGGTTGGTGAAATATTGCCAAAAGTTAGCAGGGTGTAGGTTCTCCTTGGATAGTTGTCAGTCCAGGCTGAAGATGCCTGAATACTGACCGGTTTCGTCAGCAAGACCTTACCTTGACCCCACCTTTTAAACCCCACCAATGATGTTGAAGAAAGATCTTACATGTTTTCTGTTTTTTATCATCCAAAAAGATGGCCGACCGGGATCATGTCGGTGAGAAAAATAATCTCCAATGGAGTAAAGTGCCCGAGAAACATTCCAGGCACCTTTGCCCACATTCCCTTTCAGGTGACCATCTTATGCTCAGATGTAAGATCAAATAAACCATAAAACATATCTTGGAAAGAATACCAAAATGATGGTTATCTAGGATCACCATCGCAACCTAAAAGTCGCGCATGCGCACGGACTTAGTATTCAAACCAAGTCTGTTATCTTGGATCATACCTTAGATAAATACCTCTGCTCATTTTAATGTGAAACTCTGCACATAAAGACTCAAAGCACTTTACCACTTCACATCAGTGAAGTTTTTATGGTGCTTGGAATAACCCTTTAACTAAATAATTTAGAGAACAATCCTACAAACAAATTTATCTAAACTATTTCCTTTTTTTATTCTTCATAAACGGTTAATGATCCTTTTAATGACACAAAATGATATTGTCTTTGAGTAAACCCACTGTTTATGCTTGGTAGCAGAAAAGCATAGAAACACCGAAGGCTTGTCAAATGGCTATTATAAATCCAACAGCTCCATTCTGTAAAACATATTTACTGTCACCATAGATTATCCTTTCATTTTAATGTGATATCACATTTGACAGAATAGTAAAAAGTAAGCAATGCAACATAGGATCTTTTACTTAAAATGTCTACAACGCAGGGATCTTAAATAAAATAGGCAATAATAATTTTTGATGTATTAACATATATATACGTACAGGACATATGAAATCACTTTTATACATTGATATGTGAATCTTTGACACGGCAGTTCTTTTCAATCTGAATTCATAAACTTATTTATTCATTAGAATCACTGTTTGTTTCAACACAAATATGCACCCCTGTTATGCAGAGAATATTAAAAATGAAATATTTAACTTGGTGTTGACTTGTACTATTCAAATGCCATCTTAAATTTACAGTATTACGCTTATATTACCATCCCAGGAGATACACTTACATTTACCAAATAAGCTAATGATGTTTTTCTTTCACATTTCTTTAACTCCTTTTCCCATTGTATATTATTAAAGTCACCTTTGTTTGCCACTTACATTTATTAAAAAACACAAATGAATATTTATACTAATGAGGCACAATAGAAGAAACAGTGAACAAAATGCCACATAATTCAGTTTTTCTTGATTGGACTTTAGCTCCCCAGAAATTGAAATAGTGGGTAAATTTGTGTTAAATACATTTCTTAAAAAAACAAGTGAGAAAAGAACACTACACATTATTTGTGATAAGACTCCACAGGTAAATCCAGGAGAGTTCGATTAGTTTGGACATAGATTAAAATAAATTTGATCTATTCATACCAGTTAAATACAGGGAGTGCAGAATTATTAGGCAAGTTGTATTTTTGAGGATTAATTTTATTATTGAACAACAACCATGTTCTCAATGAACCCAAAAAACTCATTAATATCAAAGCTGAATATTTTTGGAAGTAGTTTTTAGTTTGTTTTTAGTTATAGCTATGTTAGGGGGATATCTGTGTGTGCAGGTGACTATTACTGTGCATAATTATTAGGCAACTTAACAAAAAACAAATATATACCCATTTCAATTATTTATTATTACCAGTGAAACCAATATAACATCTCAACATTCACAAATATACATTTCTGACATTCAAAAACAAAACAAAAACAAATCAGTGACCAATATAGCCACCTTTCTTTGCAAGGACACTCAAAAGCCTGCCATCCATGGATTCTGTCAGTGTTTTGATCTGTTCACCATCAACATTGCGTGCAGCAGCAACCACAGCCTCCCAGACACTGTTCAGAGAGGTGTACTGTTCTCCCTCCTTGTAAATCTCACATTTG